TAATTTATTCTCCCCTATTTCTTCCTTTGATGTCAGAGGATTTCAAGTTTGATATTTCGAAAGTTTTTCGTCGAAAAAAAAAGAAATGTGCCAAAAATGAGTTCGAACAAGGGCATAAACTGACCAAGTATACTACTCAGCACTTGCTGCTGCTGTTGCTGCTGATCAATTGTTGCCATTTTTTCTCCTTCCCGATCAAAACTCATAAGCCTGAAATTAACAAGTATCAATATCTCATGAATTAGTAAAAAAAAAATGCAAAAATTATAGTCAAATTTTATTAAACAATGTCATAAACGCACTAGCAAGAAGTAAGAAACTCGCTCATGCACATGTGCTCATGCACATGCACACACACACACATATACATACATATACGCACACACACACAGACACACATACACCACACACACACAACACACACACCACACACACACACCACACACACACCATACACACACACCACACACACACACCACACACACACCACACACACACCACACACAAACACACACACAACACACACACACACATATACACATACACACATGCACATATACACACACATATACACAGGCACATATATACACATACACACACGCACATATACACGTGTACACACACATACCTACAACAGCAACTGCTTGACCGCACTCTTATTCCATAAACAACTTCTTGACCTCTAATTCAGGTCAATAAATCGATGCAATATAATACTATGCACATCAATCTGTCCAGTATACTGCAAGCACACATTCTGACGGGCATTGGCACAGTGGTAAATAGCTCTGTGTTATATGCTGTTGATGATGAGGATACGGTTTGGCCGACCAAAAGCCATTGAATATTTATCGATTTGACCCGCTTCACTTGGACCGTTCACTTTTGATTCAGCTTTCTAATGGCTGTTACTTATCATTTCAGCATTAGAACAATCAATTTTCCTTGGATTCGTTTATTTTTCTTTTTTTGGCAGTGAATTGACTCTCTCAGCAATCCACAGATTGAAAAAAAAAAAAATCACTTACTTGGTGAAGAAAGCAAACGGCGCGAAAACTGCGTGATCGCGTCGCTATTGCTGCTCGAACACGTCAAATTGTTAGCCTGAGAATGATAAAAAAAATACACTCTAGCAATACTTGCATAAAATTAAAGTCAAAAAAAGTTTAAATCTTCGATTTCGCTTTTTGTGAAGGATTGAGGGGTTTAAAAGTATCCCGAATGGTAGCACATGTGCCAACAAAAATAACGAGCCGATTGCAGCCTTTTTGGTGAAAGAAATCGATTGCAGCCTTTTTCGATAGAAAAATCGATAGTTGCCCGTTTTTCAAGGAGTGATTAGAAATGAATTTGCCTTGGTATATGCTAGCACCAATTTACCATCGAAACGAATGAACGAATCGTAGACAGGGATTGATTGATTCCTACCCCTAACCGCACCACGTACTGTTTGTGTTTACAGCTTAGGGATGAAACAGAGACAGCTTCTTTTTTTTACATACTACTCTTCATATGATACACACCACTCTACATACCCACTTAACAATGTTTCTTTTTTTTTTGCCTCTTTCAAAGTATTTCGATGGCCAAGCTAGGACCCCTCCTGACTGGTTTTGGGTACCGCAACTAGGCGAGATCACAGGAGCTGTTTTTCCTGGTGGAGTGGTGTATTTTGTTCAAGCAGCACATCGGGAGGTAGAATGATCTTGGAAAGTTATGGCAGTAGCTAGCTGAATGGGATGTTGCACAGGGACTTCAATAAAACACTATGGAATTAAACTACGCATTCATAATTAACAAAATGTGTAGTACATATGATGTGGATTGGGGTCTCCATGGCCCGTTCTGTTTTTTACGGGGAGAAGCGCCTACTTTGTAACAGCAGAACTACTAAAATACTGCGGGGAACCATGCAAAAGACGCATCTTCGCACGAGCAGCTCGCGCGTTGGCCAGTTTTTGCAATTTGCATATATGCAAAAAAAGATGCATTGAAAAAAAAAAGTGGGAAATGAAATAGCAATATTGTTACTTGGGTTAGGAGATGAGATCGATGAAAACGGAAGAGTGGAATGCGCTGAGGTATGCGAAACAGTTCCAGTGCTGCTAGCCGCCCTTCGACCTCTGCTGCATCCGGGCACAACCGTCGTCACTCTGCTGCTCCTCAACCTCGCTCTTTTTTCTTCCAAATATGCTGCAAATGAGACCGCTGTAAGGCAAAAAAAACACCAAAACAATCCCCCATCGGAGCATCGCATTTTTGAGGATGATCACGGCGCACTCGTTCGAGGATGCCCCTGCCCTTCCCCCTTGCTTTTTCCGTACTACAATTCAACCCAGGGCAGGGATCCCCACGGGGAAAGGCAGCGGGCAAAAATCCCCAAGGATGGAGCGACGGAGCGGGAGGAAAGGGGAGGAGAGAAAGGAGATGGGTAACAATCCTCCATCGGAGCGTCGCATTTTTGAGAATGATCACGACGCACTCGTTCACGCAGCCCAAGCTGGCCGCTTCGATGCCCTTGCCCTCCCCCCTTGCTTTTTCCGTACCACATTTCAACTCAGGGCGAAGATCCCCACGGGGAACCGCAGCGGGCAAAAATCCCCAAGGATGGAGTGGCACAGCGGGAGAAGAGGGGAGAAAGAAGAGCGGAGATGAGTAAATCCATCGGAGCAACTCATTTTTGAGAACAATCACAGTACTTTTCACGGCGCACTCGTTCGCGCAGCCATGCTGATCCTTCCAGTCCCCGCCCCTTTCTTCTCCTTTGCTCCTCCCCTACCTCATTTCAACTTAGGGTAAACATTCCCACGGGGACAGGGGAAGGAGAGGAAGGGGAGGGAGAAAGAGAGGAGAGAGGAAGCGGGAACGGGGAAGGAAGGGAGAGCGGAGGGGAGAGGGGGTGGGAGGGATGTCCCCTTTGCCCCTTCCATATCTCATTTCAACCCAGGGCAAAAATTTCCACGGAGGGAGGGGGATCCGAAAGTAGCGCAGGGGAGGGGCAGAAGAGGGAAGGCGGAAGGGGAGGGGGAGAGGGAGTGGGTAAGTCGGAACTGCGAGCGCGGAAGAAATAACGCACAAGAAAAAAAAGGGAGGGAGGAGTCTTCTTTACCGTAATACCTAACTCACTGTAGAACAGTAACGCCTACTCCGATGCAAAAAAGCTGTGCTTCTTTTGGTCTCAGTAGAGATATGAGGGGAAGGGAGGAATTAGCGGGGAGGGGGAGGGGTGGAGGAAAGGAGCGGAGCCAGGACTGGGGGAAAGCGAGCAAAAAATAGCATCCCCCCCCCCTTAAAAATTCACTCCCCGTCAGAGGGCAGGGGAAGGGATAAGAAAGGAAGGGGGGTTG